GGGGGTTTATATAGACTACCGACATTGGGGTCTGTGCCATTGGTCCTCTCAATCCACCTTGTCAGTGAGCAGTGTAGTGAGCTGCCCCCCATCGAATCTTCCGCGTTTTCCCCGCCCGGTTGGCGTCTTCTCGTGCTGTTGTTTTCTTTGCCAAGTCGAAGGCGCTTGTAGGATTTCTTGAGCATCTCGTTGGAGGAATCAGCGGTGCAAGCGCCACAGAAAAGATCCATCCAGGAGTCAATTGAGCCGGAGACACTGACGGGAGCAAAGCGGACCATGTAGTAAATAAACAGGAAAGGTGGGCACGAATTACTTGGAGAAAGCCATCAGGGTTTGCAATCAAGAAGAAACGAATCGCATAGTGGAGAACATACACCCTCCATCCAACAAAAATGGAAGTGGAACTGACAGGGCAACGAAAGGAAGACTGTTTGTTGTTGTGTTTTAAAGGTCCACACTCTAGCTCATCCCCTCGACTGCAGGGGTGGGGTAGTGGCGCGCCTGTCCGCCCGGGGATTCGCATGAGGGATGCGTCATAGCCACTAGACCATACCGGCCCTCAAAGGAAAGACTGTTTTCTACAGTGCCCAAACACTGCATGAGACTGGCATATATTTACATCTCGTACAGACTGGGGTCGGGTGGTTGTTTAAAGGTCCATGGGTCCATATGCCAGTCCCATGTGTCGTGTTTGCTTCCTCAAATGGTATTTTGGACATATTTGGACCTCGAACCCACCCCAAACACCTTTTCAAAGGGTACTTGGAACACTAGGGGAGAGGTTAAGTGACCTCCTAGGACCCTACTAGGGTACCCAACTGGGCTGGTCGAACTAGGGTTCTTCAACCTGTGTTGGTATTCCAGGCCAACCTGACCTGGACAAGTTGACCAGTGTTGAACCTACCAGGTGGGCCATGGCTGCTCAAATTGTGGGAGGCTTGCAGGGCATGCATTATCCAATTATCTACCAACACCTTCAAAGGGGTCACGAATGGAAGATCCCTACACGAAACAGGTGGATCTCCGGTGTGCACCCCTTTGAAGCTCTAGGTGCTTCTGCTTTGGCTCGACTCTGTGTTTCACCCTGTCCGGCATCATGTGGCTTTTGGTCCTGAGATGGTGGAAACATGTGGACACCAGGCCCATCCAGGGCCCAGGGTGTAGCTGAAGCTCCAAAAGCACGAAGGACGGCACGACGTCTCGCACGATTCGATCCAACCAACCTACTAGGCCTTGCAGGCGCGCTCGGATCGATCCACATGTCGTAATCTGAGTGGTGCGGCTGTCTGTCTGGAAGGTTTCGGGTGGCGATCGATCCAAAGGATCTTTTGGGGACTCATTTCCTTGGACTTGCTGTCCGGGAACCTGGAACATATTCTCCAAAAGGGGATTGAACCATAGGGAAAGTTTAAAAAAAAGACTCATTTTGGATCATTTTGGTTCTTTCCCCATCTTTTCCCGTCGGAAAAAAGGCATGCTCGGTCGGGACTGGTGACCCTGGTGGGCAAGCACCATCGAAGTGCTTGGCGCTTGTCACGGAGAACATCGGACGACACTTCTGATTGCATATGCGGTCATCCAAAGGAAGCACGCCCGACCAAACCGTAGACTCCTTGAAAATGCCGATCAAAAGGTCTTGGACTTGAAATCAATGATCTGCCCGCACCAGTCTTGGAGGATATCAATTATCAAGTGGTGACTCCTTTTTGGATCATACACAAGTTTGCCGAACAACTGTCTGGAATTGAGCCCAGAACCAGCTGGGAGCAAGTTACCTGACCATCTGCCGCGTCTTTTTCTATCCTATAGCCTATAGGCAGGTGCTTCGATTACGAGGCTGACCGGTGCAAAAGCTGAAAGCGCAGTTGCCCAGATCATTCCCTCCGAAACAATTTTGGCCCCGCTTCAAAGGGGGTGCAATCTTGCCCAGGATGGTTGGATTTCGGGCTAGCAAACTAGCCCTGCTGTCAGTCTTCACAACAATGCTGCTTCGAACATCAGATCCTCAGTCTACAAAACATGCCTGATCGTCGCCATCTCCCGGCAAAATGGCCAAACTGGCCCTCAAAACGGTGTCTCCTTGCGCTTGGAGATGTACTCCTTCAGCTGGGGCAAAGCATCCGTCGCCTCCAGGGCGGCCTTCAACTTGGGGCAGTTCTGGAAGGCCGCCTTCGCACCCTCCGCGTTGTCAAAGAAGCAACCTGCAAAAATGGGCTCGTGACCTACCTCCACCTGGCTGACACTCCATGGGACTGCCATATAAGCCACCTGGAGCCACATGGCTCGTGACCCACCTCGCAGTCCACAACCCTCGTGCCCGACCCGACGTGCCCATGACTGTCGCGCCCGTGTTGGGTCGGTCGACGGAGCAGTCACTAAGGAGTTGGGGATTTTGGGGCGGTCCAGGTCCCCTGGCCTGGTGTGATGGGGATGAAGAACTGTTCTACATGTTTGCAGATGTTTGCAGTAGATTTCTTGGCAAACAGGGCGAGCGACTGGAGATATCCAAATCTTGTAAAACCAACCTTCAGGAGGACGTGTGTGAACTTTACGCCCCGCCAAAAGAGCAATCCTGATCACCATCATGCCAGCATGGCTTTATGGAAGCCGGAAGCGGCCTGGAGCAAGAAGCAAGGTGTAGAACAAGATATCGGCGAGCGAAACCTTGCCACCCACCAAGAAAGGCCCTGGTCCAGGAGGAAGCGACTTCTCTGCCAGTGCGCACCAGTTAGGCAAGTCCTGGACAAGAGAGTGCGTTGCCATGTGCGCCCAAATGCCAAAAGTTGAAAAAACAAGCGCACACACACACACACCCACCTGTACCTTCAATGGGGTGTCCAATGGAGGTCCCTTAGTGTAGGGGCTTCCAGCCAGGTGACCGCTTGCAGGTGTTGCGTGGCGGTATGGCGGGGTATGGCGGGGTGGTGCTGGATCGTGCGTCACCTGAGGAACCTTGGAACCACGCAGACATCGGCCGAGTTGGATGTGCCAATGACCTGAGAAACTCCAGTCAAATCGGGGAGAAGAACTGACGCATCTGGTGGAAGAAATTGAAGAAATTGAACGTCCTGTACTTTATATATATAATCTATATACTATTCATATCAGTGAGTTGAATATGCTTAAAGCTTGCATTTACTAAACATACCCTGGAGACACTGTACATGATCATAATGACCATCTGTTTGTGCACTTCTGTCCTCGGCAAACCACTTGTCCATACCAGCCTTCTTGGCCTCCTCATCTTGAAGGCCGCGGACCTTCTGGTAGGCGTCCTCATGTGGGAGAAGCTCGACCAACCGAGGGAACAAACTTCCAATCCTCCCACGCTCACGCGAAAGCGCGTTGGGGTGGTTGATTGGCCATCCACCGCCCGAAGGAGGAGCCCTGAGGACCCAAGCACATCTTCAAAGAACCCATCGATGGGATGGCAGGTAAGGGTTCCAGTGCCCATGCACGGGGAGCCGTGCATACGCGGCACCCAGTATGTGGTGTTTCACTATCCGCATCTAGCCACGCGAATCCGAATCCAACCACTCCAGGCACGCAATCCAGACTCAAATAGCTTCTTTTGATCCTGATGCCGCCCACATATTGGTGAACTGGTAGATATTTGGATCAACCTCTTCGAGCAATCTGGCCAAGTTTTCTCAAATGGAATGTTTGAAAACCACCTGTATGCCTTTCATCCACCGATTTCGGGTTCCGAAACAGCTCCAAGTTTCTAGCGGCTGAGTTTGCATTGGTTTCTCACCGGAAAAGAAAGCTCAAGCTTTTCCTACCTGTTCTTCTTCAGTGGGGTCATCACTCCCCCCCAAAAGGGTGATTTCTCTTATCCGCTGGCAGGGTATGACTTGTCTTTGGACAACCCCTTCTTGTGGCCTAAGAAGCATCTTTGTAGCCGGACACTTGGGATCTGGAAGAACTCCAGATCCCACCTGCGGCTTTGGAATCGGCCTCACCCGCCGAACCCGTGCGGTGCATGGACCGACGAACCGCTCTTGGACCCGCTGGACCCGGTGTTCCTTGATGTCACGCACCGTCTCGCCCAGCTGATCCACTTGCGCGGCCTGGCGCTGGAGTGGCAGGTCGGCCGCGGGCAAACACCGCGTTGGGGAGGAAGAAGCCCTGGGACTGACACGTTTGGACCTACTACATCGGGTGGTTTCAGGGTCAATGTAGCACTAAGCCTTCCGAATGTCAGGTAAGAGCTTGAACTCCCGAACTCGTGCGTGGCTGTATTGTCGGTATTCTGGATAACGGTTCTGCCACTTTTAGGCCTCCCAGGCTGCCAGGTCCATACGCTGGAAAAATGAGATGCGCAAGAAACGGTGCCTCACTCATGAAACCAGTTTCCGTGCGGGCAGAGTAGGCCTTGACCTCATTATAACCCTTGTCATACCCTATTGCACAAGGCACTTTACTTGATCACTTTTTACTTGTTATGTACCGTCCGGCCGACATCCTTTTGGCCAACCTGAGCATCGCGACCGGTCGCGCTGCACCCGATCGAATCGATGTGCGGCACCTCGACGCTGTTGCTGCCCATCATGCCCAACTCCTTGGCCAAAAAGCGCTCGATGGCTTTGGACTGGCCGATCTTGGCCCCATCCACCTGGACGCTTCAGCGGATCCATCGGCGGGTGCGGTGGAACCGTTTTGGGTGTGGGATGGTGCGGGGCTCGGTTTGAACATCTGCTCAACACATCTGCGACTCCCGCGGGGTTTGCCAGCCAGGCTGGTCCATTGAGGATCAGGGATGCTATGTCAGGTCATGTCAGGTCTGATAATGTCTTATATATTAAATTAGTCTTAGGATTCTGATGGTCTTTCATTTCGACTGTACTAGGCGATGCTAGAAATGGTATTTCCCTGGTTCCACCAGGTACTTCCTGCTTCATGTCGCATGTCGGAGGCATTTTGTTCAGCACGCATTCCGGGCGACACTGCACCCCTTTCCACCCCCCATCTCAGTGATCTGTGCCCCGCAGACAGCCCAGCCCATGAATATCTCCATTCACCGCCGACGTTTAAAAAAACCCAATCTCCCGCCTCCAAAAGAGGCACTTTGCCCAAAGAGGAGTCCAACCTTGGAAGAGTGCGACTTCCAGGAACTCGGATAAATAGAAAGACTAAGAACAAAAATCTTCCCCAGGGAACCTATTTACATGTTGAAGAAGTGTTTTTTAAAGAAAACTTCTTCCAATATCTTCCCCATGTGGGATTGACATCTTCATATCGTCTCCATGCAAGGGGATTGACCCATGCCAAAAAGATTGACCCAGCTCGGAAAAATTACAAACATGCAAAACCAGGCAACTGTCCCGCCGCCTTCATCGCATCAAACTCAGGGCGCTTGATGGTGCCTCAGTCAGAGTCAAAGCGTCTTCCCGTCGCATTTGTCGCCGGCGAGGCGAAAAAAATCAATCGAAACGAGATCAATCGAAGCTATGGGGCGATTGCATCAACATCTTGACAAAAGTCTCTGAGACAATGTCCTACCCTACACACCGACTACACACCCAACCCCTATAAATTTGCAGGGTCTCAATCGGAACCTCGGGTATTCTTGTGATATAAGAAGCACCAAGTGTTTCTTAAAACCTCGGGTCTTGTTTTTTCTAACCCGTGCTAAACCCATATGATCCCATATGTAACCCGTACTAAACCAAGTTTAAACGGTACGTACATACCCGTACTAAACCCGCATTTTAGTACTGGCTTGGAAAACCTGGGGTTTCCTTCAGAAACCCTAAGTTTTCCATAGACCCTACATAATCTATAGTTTGGGTGCGTAGGGTATCTTGATAGATGCGACATCATGTTGGTGAAACAATTACCCATCTCGATCCCCATACCGGCCAGCGTGGGTTCCTCGAAATTCCAAGAGCGATGCAGAAAGCACCAACGAGCCGCATAAAGAAACACCATGAAAAACCCTAGGGATCCAGTCGTACCGAACCTCAGAAGGTACTTGGACCCTCAAAATCTACATGTGTCTCCAATCAGTTTCTGAGAAGGTACTTGCATCCCTAGGGGATTAAAGAGAGAGTCCATCCTGACCGAGTCGAGTCACACTGGGTTGGAAAAGTCCGGTCGAGTTCCGCCTCCCTGTTTGGGGAATATACCCTGCCGCCGGCCTGAACCGGCGCTCCCTCCTGCACCAGCTACAGCGGGGCGAGTTCTCAGTTCTGTGATCACGATTCCTGATCACCACACTGGACTCCATCCACCTCCTATCAAGCTGAAGATGTCAACTGCATCTAGGAAGAATCACCTGCCCTACCAGGTCAACAAGCTCCTTCCCCCAAAAATAACAAACACACACACAGCACAAAAAAAAAGAACATCACAAGTCATCATCAAATGTGTAGATCCTTCATAGCCTTTCCACCACCATATCATATCCCCCTTCAAACCCCCGTAGCATCTCGTCAGACCTGCAGCTCTCTCTCCCCGCCCCAGCCACTCACCCACCGAGGGGCTGAAGTCCCCGGGCGTGCCGAAGCTGAAGCTCAAGCGCACATCCTCGTAGCCTTGGAGATGTGGCCGCTCAGGGAGGATCAAAGCAGAGGCTCAGAGCAGCTCAGTCTTTTCCCTGTGGGCCTCCCACTGCAAAAAGAAACCACCTGGAGCTGAAGAAAAGTTGTCCTGTTTAAAGATTCACGTATGTAAGTGTAAATTTGGAGACCCCGAAAGGAAGGTGTTGGCAAATCTTGGATCTGAGTTGTCATCTCACTATTGCTGATTGCTAAGTTTGTTGAATACAACAACAACAACAACAACAACAACAACAACAACAACAACAACAACCACAACAACCACAACGACCACGATGACGACGACGACGACGACGACGACAACCACAACAACAACAACAAGAACAACAACAACTGCAACTGCAACTACAACTACAACTACTCCTACTACTACTACTACTGCTACTACTACTGCTACAACAACAACAACAACTACTACTACTACGACTACGACTACGACTACGACGACGACTACTACTACTACGACGACTACGACTACGGCTACAACTACAACTACTAGGGTCAACCAACCGATCAGGGGGGTTGGATCCACAGCCAGATGGCCAGCTCAGCCCTATCAGAACATCTGATCCCAAAAGACTGTTGGCAGCACGGAATGCCCTCCAGAGCCTTTGTTTCTTGGTAGGCCTTGCCCAAAGAGTTTTAAATGGATCTCAATGCATAACATAATTAATCCAACAACTCGTGATGAACAAGTTCTCCAACCTCCTTGTTGTTCGCACCAAGACTGAGCACAATTCTCTTCAGCAGAACTCTCCCTATAGCTTCTCTCTTGTGGGCACCAAGCCCCCCCTCCAAAAAAGAAATAACACGTGATCTCTTCAATCCCAGGTCGCTCTGGCCCGCCGCAGCCAAGATCAAACGGGAGTTCTCAGCGAGGCCGCGGATGTCAAAGTAGGTGAGCCTGGAACGCGAGCGCCGTTGGATGGAGCGCCACGCGCGTGCACGCGACAACGACGGTGCGACGGTGGAGGGTTGGGTGAAGCGTTGCAGCATCTCTTCTATGCTGCGTCGTGGTGGTCGGCGTGTACGTTGGATGTGGTTCAGTGCCAAACACGCAAGCTGGTGGCATGGGGGGGTTGTGTCATGTTGGAACTCCGGGGGGGTTGTGTCTACATTGACCCCCCTGGCACCACACCAACTGATCGGCAGTCCTATGGCAGTCCCATGTGTCGTGTCTGGGTGTTTTTTTCAACCATCTACGAGTGAAAACATCCGGATCCAGGTGCAACGTAACAAGGCCCCACCAGGTCGAAGGCACCACTCCGGTCCCGGAGCTGCGAGTCACCGGGGGGCCCCGACTGAACGACCCATGTAAATATGACCGGCCTTCACCCTTGCATGACCAAAACCATCGAAACGGCCGTCCAAAAGAGGCTGCCAGGCTGCCTATCCCACTCGATGTATGCCAATTGTTGCCGATCAGTTGGGGTGGTTTCAGATGGTTTCAGGGGTCAATGCTGTTAATGTAGGCATGAAAATGCATGTATGCCGCATGCCTGGGGTTTATCCTAATGCCGTACCTGGGCCCAGTGGATGATGATGGTTTTCGTTGCAGGCCTTGTTCAAAGGCATGATGGATTCTTTGCTTGTTTACGGGTCCTGTTACAGGTCAGAACGGACAGACCCATGCGGCATGTATGCCAATCCGGGGTGGCCATGGTGCGGAACCCCACGGAGCTGACGTACCGAACGATCCGAGGCACCGAACGGACCCCGGGGATGAGCATGTAGTGAGTCGTGAGCAGTGAGCTGCCTCAAAGCACAATGAACTAGATGGGGGTCCGCCCTCACAAAACAGTGATTTCAAAGGTTCGATGACACAAACACGCACAGACCGCATGATGTCCTTAGATGGGGGTTTATATAGACTACCGACATTGGGGTCTGTGCCATTGGTCCTCTCAATCCACCTTGTCAGTGAGCAGTGTAGTGAGCTGCCCCCCATCGAATCTTCCGCGTTTTCCCCGCCCGGTTGGCGTCTTCTCGTGCTGTTGTTTTCTTTGCCAAGTCGAAGGCGCTTGTAGGATTTCTTGAGCATCTCGTTGGAGGAATCAGCGGTGCAAGCGCCACAGAAAAGATCCATCCAGGAGTCAATTGAGCCGGAGACACTGACGGGAGCAAAGCGGACCATGTAGTAAATAAACAGGAAAGGTGGGCACGAATTACTTGGAGAAAGCCATCAGGGTTTGCAATCAAGAAGAAACGAATCGCATAGTGGAGAACATACACCCTCCATCCAACAAA